ATCTTTCATATTTTATTGGATACTGTTGTCGTTTTTCAAGTCAACATGAAATGCTGTTTGCAACCCAAATTACATTTGTAATGTGATGTATTTCTGTGTAAAACAGAATATTAAAGGAAATGTTATTTTATCCATTGGAAATTATCTAGAACTAATGTATTTGCTTAGAAAATGCTAAATACCTATTTGGGTATTGGTCAGCCTTATGTAATAACTTCCGCTGCCATGGACACTTTTCACATTTTGAGGGTTCTTAGCGGTTGAATCAACAGTTCTATAGTGGTGAACAGAAACCACAACAAATATAATTTTTGTATCCCCATTTGCCCCTATAACAAAAGAAAAAAAATCTTTGATTTCTATAACTTTCCAAATAAGGAAACAGATATTGAAAGATAGATTATGTAGGTCAAAACAGTAAAAGATGTCAAATTTGTCATCACTCCCTCAGCTGTTTTATTAGGAAAACTCACACAGTAGCATTTGTCAGTTTTCTGTTATTTATATTATATTATTTTATATATATATATATATATATATATATATATATATATATATATATATATACATATTTCATTGAAAATATAAAAAACTAGATTTAAATAATAAACTAATAACTGTGGAACACACAATGTTATTAACTCTGGAAACGCCATCACAGTCTGTGAAAAGGGTCCATTGTTCACAATAAGACCAGGAATGTATTGGGTCTGTATGGGGTCCATTCTGATTTTGTGGCTGTTCTGTCTGACAAAACAAATAAATGAGAGATGTACCTTTGTGTTGGCAGATGTTGTCAGAATGTCTGTGCTTCCTTACAGATCCACAGCCCAAGAACTACATGCTTTACTATGGCTTCTCTAGATTTGCAATCGAGATGAATGAGCTGACCCCTGACCTTAAGCCCTTGCTGCCCCCTACGGATACACGCTTGCGCCCTGACCAAAGGTGAGATCTTCCTAATAGACAATGATAAATAGACAGACGCTGGAGCCAGAATTATTTAGCAATTTCATGGATTAGCAAGTCAATGAAACTCTTCTTTTAGATCATCTGTTTTAAGTTTGCTCTGTGTTGGTGCTGTTAGGCTTCTCGAGGAGGGGAAAATAGAGGAGACCGATAAAAAGAAGGATGAAGTGGAGGAAAATCAAAGAGAATGGAGGAAAATTATTGCCAAGAGAGGAGAGGAGCATATCCCTCGCTTCTTCAGGTGCGTTGACATCAATCCCTCAACTGATTTATTCATAAGAATTAGAGTTGGAATGTTAAAATGTTACCATCTTACAGGAAAACTTTGGATGCTGCTGGAAGGGAAGTTTGGCTTTACAATGGAACGTATTGGAAGATTAGGGAGAATCCTGGGTTTGTCAATGTTAAAAACCTGGAATTATGGTGAAGAAGGCAGATTGAAGCAACACTGTGGACACTTAATGCCTGTGATAAATTCAGCTTTTGAAAGACTACACAAACTTGGAGCTTTTGGGAGCAACGATGAATTGCCAAGGGTTTTTGAACTAAACCGAATCCATTGAGCAAGGATGATGCCTTTACCAAACAGCAAGAGGAGGGATACATTTTGAACATTTCTATTTATTTCGTTGGTTGAGGACACAGAAACTTGGTGGACAGTTTGACCTTGTCTTCCACTTTGGATAAAATATAAGCCAAAAGGTAAAAGAAAACGAATGCGAGTTCTGGAGATGTTTAGTTTTAACAATTGCACACACACATTTCTATGGACAATGTTAAATTACTTTTCACTTTATATAAGTACTTATGTGATGGTGGAAACAAAAAGAGTATGGATTAAAAAAAAAATTAATATATGTAACCACATATGTAATATTCAGAGGTCTCATTAACTAACTTTTTCTTCCGTTAACTCGCAAGTTTATAAAAGGACCATTATTTCGCTTGCAAAGCCATGTCTCAACCTGATCAGGATTGAGCAGTAAATTAATTAACTCTAATTTGGGCCCTCTTTGGTTTCTGAAATGTGTCCAAAGCACACTTGCATTGCACATCTTATTTTTTTTATAAACCAAATATCATATTTTGATTTTAGACAATGATATTATGTTTATTGGCATTTAAGTATGAATTAAGTGCACAGTTTAAACCCTATATAAAATGTGATATCTGAAACAACCATTTTGTGTAGGCCTGGATGAAAAAATCAGTGTACAAATGTTCAAATAATAAACTTGCAAGTCATGACTTGTATAGTTATTTAAAACAGCAATAAACTGTACAATATTAAAGAATAGAAAAATAAACGAATTTGTATAGTTCAGTCTTTATTACATTTAGAATGAATCAAAAACTGAGGCTCAGTTTGCTTGGCTGAGGAAACATACTACAGAAGCACCTCTTTTATTGTTAGTAACATTATTTAAAAATTGTTGCTTTTAATTCAACAGATAGACAAGGATAGTGCCAGAGATAATAACCTATATAGGTTCCTTAAAAGACCTGCTATTGACACTCGAAGATATGAGGAGCATAATGTCCACCAGGGGTCAGCCAAAACATGGATTGATTGCTAACATGACAACAACAGACAATTTGTTCATTATTTTCAGTGCACATCAACAGTAACAAACGTGTCAGTGCATTTCAGTGTATAAAAAGAAACCAAACATGAACATTAATTACACATCTTTTAAATTAACATAGAAACACTTTAATTGCACTTTTTTGTTCTGTAACATTGATTGTCAGTTAAATAATATTACCGCTTTCTCTTGCAGCCATTTGCTTTTTGTTTATCAGTCAACTTCTTAATAACTAACATTAATAAACCTGTAAGCAAATGAATAAATTCTAATTATTACATTTGTAGAATATTACAAATTTCCCAGCATCTACATTGCACTGTATATTTTAAACAACTAAGCATCTGGCAATATCTGGCAATGGCTTTCTAATCCAGTAATGGCATTTTAAAATAATGCAGTCTTAACCATATTAGTCTTGTTTCATTTGGTTTTGCATCAAAATACATATATGTAAAATAAACAGTTTGAGTCAGTTTGCTGACTTAAAAAAAAACTGATCACAGAGCTGGCCACAGAATATTGAAGAATCATCACTTTAATTAATTGTTCTATTTTACAAGTAATGTTAATAAAGGAGGTTTCATGTTAGGACACAGATCATATGCATATGTCTGTGTGCATATTTGTGATCTGAAAGATGCAGGAAGCTTCTATAAATTGACAGTTCTGAGCTCACAGGCTTCCGGTGTGTCCCAGAAGTTAGTTTACTGTCTTCTGCAGTGGCATCTTGTCACCCACTTATCTGTCTGAGGTCATTCTCACCTTTGAATGCCAGCGGAACCTAATTCTTCCTCTGTGTCACTGACGTCCGTGTGTGAGCTATCTGCATGTTACGCTGTTGTTTGAACAGAAAAGATGATATATATACAGTCAGTTTGAAGCCCCTGCCAGGTGTCCATTTTTCCACCCTGTCTATCTGTATACCGTCATGTGCGACGCCTCAAGACATGATGCTTTTGGTTTAAGTATGTCCTGTTACAGGTCATCAGATTGACACTAGTGTGTTTATCCTAACTCGTGGACTTTAGCTAAATTAAACCGGAGGAATACAAGGCCCTGTCTCAAACTATCACCGTCACATAAGTTGCCGGTTTTACGTTTACAGTACGAAAAGTAAAACTATAGAACTATAAAAATTTAGAGAGATCAGGAAAGAATTACTATAGCTCTCAAGGTTCAGTTTTGCATTTTAATTTTAAATTTATTAACCTTCACCTGTCTCTCTTTGCCTGTTTTTGTGTTTATCTGAAGCAGTGCACTATTTGTTTAAAGATTTTTGTAATATTTACAATATTTAATTGTTTTTAATTTTCAGCAGCTATACTTCAGTCTTGAATGTCTCATAATCCTTTAGAAATCATTCTAATATGCTGATTTGCTGCTCGAGAAACATTTCTTATCATGTTGAAAACAGTTGTGCTGCTTAATAATATTTGTGGAAACCACAATAGAATTCTTTGATGGATAGAAAGTTCAAAAGAACTACATTTAAATTTTTTTGGTAATATTTTTAAACATTGATGCAAAAAAGGACACATTTCTTAAAAAAAAAATCAGTCCCCAAACTTTTGAATGGATACTTAATTTAACTGCATATATAATAACTCATGCATTCTATTAACCATATTATGTCTGTCTATTTAAGGATGGAATTCCAGCTGGTGCATACAGCCATGGTTTGTCAGACATCATGGCTATTTTATTTCCAGCATGTGTTATCTGAGTGGCCTGGGCTTTGATGTGCTTATTGATTGTGCTCCCTGTAGGGGTGCATTTTGGGATTGACTGGACACACAAATGTTGTAGCCTACTGTAATGAAGGCTCTGGCTCGCATTCAGAAGCAAAATGTATTTAAGCTGTGCATGCAGCACACAAGTGCATGCAACATTAGTCTGTTTAAATATAAATCTTCTGCTTAATATGTAAATTTCTGATGTTATTTCCAATGAGATCATCCATCAAATAACAACTATGTTAGAGCAACCTATTTGAAGATGTTATATCAGCAAATGCTTACAGGTCCACAGCATCACATCTTGAGCAAACCAATTTCGTGTCATTTAGAGACCACTTAAAGGATTTGTGCGCAATACTCCACATTTTCTGCAGCTATACACTGTAAAAAAAAATTAAATAATTTATGAATACAATTTCAGTCTTTCTACTTAAGAATTTCATGTTTAGTTCAATCTGTTACTTGTTGCTTCTTTGTAATTATTTGTGAAATTCACAATTTCAGAGTGAAAATAGGATGTATATATTTTCAGTGTACAATAGCTTTAGGTGAGAAACAGACATTTTCTTTGGTGTGTTCATGAAAGAACAAGCAATGTCAGATGATTGTCAGAATCAAATGATATCAGACTTATTTGCATGACTTGACATGCAGCACATGAGTTGTATGAACAATTTTTATAGTGATTTTGCATCCTTGAAGCTTGAAAGCACTTTGTTGTAATTTCTTAAAAAATGTCTTTGTGTTACAGACAAAAAGTCAAACGGGTTTGAAATGATCATGACATGAGGGAGAGAAAATGATGATGGACTTTTCTTTTTTGGGTGAACTATGACTCTAGGTCCACATTTTTAAAGACAGATGTAAATGTGACGAAAAGGATTTGATTGTTTGTTTGAGCGTGCATGTGGCGTGTGGGTTTTTGTGAGGTGTTTTCATGTCTGTGGCTGACGAGGGGGACAGAGACAGTTCCTTTGGGGGAGTGTCAGCAGGTGTGCTGTGAAATCTTCAGCTGCTAAAGTCACACAGGTCTGCCTGTCTGTGTGTCTCCAGGCCAGTGTCTCAGCGCAGTCACATCGTCTTCGTCTTTTGTGTGACAGTAACCTTCAGAACACCTCTACATGACCCCCAAACATCTAACACAGGGAACACAAACCACAGAGGGGCCACCTAACACCTGGCACTGTAGCTACTATCACAGAGAGCTTTATCCCTGTATCTCGGGACATGCAGACAGACGGTGGGTGGAAGACAGCAGGAGTACAGTCTGAGTGCTGGTCTTCAGTGGGTGTAGAAGCCGTAGTAGCCCGCATCACTGCAATTGTCCTTTTCGCAAACCTCTGCGCTGCGGTTGGGAGGGGAATTTTCCGTGCTGGACGTGTAAGGCGACACGCGCCTCTTCTTGCTCTCTCCTCCCTCGAACAAACCTGAGTCAGCTGAGTCCACCGATTTAACCGAGGGGGCTTCAACCCAGGCGTCCTCCCCGGACTCTTTGGACTTGTCTTGGAGCAGAGGTTGGCGCTGGGGATCCAGGAGCGATGGGGAGGAATGGAAGCGCGAGTTCACTGCTGAGGGAGATGAAGATGCAGCTGGGGACGAGATGGTTCGGAACCAGCCGAGACTAGACCCGGGTTTACTGTGGTGTGGATGATTAAGATACTGCGGTGAGGGCCGTCCTGAGCTCCATGCTCCTGTGTTGGCACCAGAAACCGTCCCAGACGCGAAGGGGCTTTCAGAGTAGTAGCCCAGAGGGTGGTGTGGGGACGTCTGAATCGGAAATGGCTTGTAGAGGCTGTTGGAAGTGTATTCGTTCTCGTACGCGTTGAAGTCAAGGCGGTTCGGCGGCACCCCCTGCTGGCTGGGCAGGTAAAAGCGGCTGTGAGGGCTGGCGGTAGGGTCTTTGGGGCACTGCTGGGTCATGCTGACCGGCTCGCGGCTATAGAAACGACTCTGAGGCAGGGGGCTCATGTACTGATCAGACAGGTACGGCTGGTGAGGGTAACAACTGCCTGGAAGGAGCTGCTGGCTCTCGGTTGGGGAAGGTGTAAAGCGGTCTGAGTCAAGAGGTGCGTACAGCCTACACGAGAAAATAGAGGGTCAACTTCAACTGACAAAACCCCTTCTGAAATGTTAACATGTTAATAATATTGCACTATTAATTAAACTGAGAATGCAGTTCCTGAATCTTAATTTAATTTGAATTTAGGTAGCAAATGGGATTGAATGTTGGAAGCCTTGAAGTTTGAAGACTTATAGATAAATAGACAAATACTGTAGACAGACAGACAGACACAGACAGACAGACAGACAGACATAGATAGATAGATAGATAGATAGAAAGATTACTTACGTATCATAATTATCCCGGAAACCTTTAGCAAAAGGGTTATGATCTATTTTCAGCTGAGTGATCTGTGAAAGAAATGTCAGGGGAAGAGGTTGGAGAAAGGGCAGAGAGAGAGGGTAAGAGTAAAGTCACATGGGCACAGGAAGCATAGTCAGGGAGACTGATAGATCACTGCCATTACGAAATAATTTATGAATTACACTCATACTCTTTCCTACAATCAGACTTCTTCAGCACATGCACTCAAAGTGCAGACATAACACATCCCACACTGTGAGGACATGGATCTTTGTTTGCTGTAAGCAGTGGTTATGTGGCAGATGCAGTCTGATTAACAAGAAAATAACCCACTGCATGATGCGTTCAGATAACATGACTTACATCTGCATTCTGGTACGCAGTGACGGCAATGAACTGAGTCTCAGGGAAGACAAATGTCTGAGTTTTTGAGGTCAGAATAGGGTCCTCCGTTCCATCCTCTTTCACCTCCACGATGTGAAGACGTGGTTGGTATTTATGGAGCGACTGCAGCACTATCATCTGTTTTCCAAGCAATGCAGTTGTCAGAGAAATAGTGCAGATATGCTATAGTGTTATATATTCAACCTAAATGGTAAGCGTAATCTCTGTTTGACTACAACCAATGTCAACACAGATGACTCGGGTCTGATGCAGTAAGACTGCTTTACTGTAGGAGTTTATTAGTATATTACCTGTGCTACATTGTTAGAGCTGCCTTTGTTGTTGGTAAGTTTCAGTTTGCCAAAGGAAACTTCCTGTCTCATCCAGTGATTCCCAGTGTTGGGAGAGTCTGGGTGCATATACATTCTGTTTCCTGTAAAAAAAAAAAGCACTTAAGCATAAATATATAAGTACTGAATGAACCGTTTAGGTTTGGGGTCCGTTTTTGAAAGAAGTCTCTTATGTTCACCAAAACTGCATTTTTTTCAAATAAAATTACAGTATAAAAGTAATATTGTGAAATATCATTACAAATTAAAATAATAAAATTGTTGTTTCTTTTTTGTTGTTATTTTCTATTCTAATATATTTTAAAATGTAATTTATTCCTGAAGCTGAATAACTGAATAACAGTTGTGCTGCTTAATATTTTTGTGGATGCTATTATACAATTTTTAGGGTTCTTTGATGAATAGAATGTTCAAAAGAACAGCATTTATTTGAAACAAAAAGTTTTGTAACAATCTTCTTATTAAGAGTCTTTGCTGTCACTTTTGATCAATTTAATGCATCCTTGCTGAATAATATTAATTTAAAAACTCTTACTGACCCAAACATTTTGAATGGTAGTGTATATTATATATATATTTTTAATTATTATTATTATTTTTTTTACATTTGCTTATTTTTTATTCATATTTGTATATTCTTTAATTTTTTATAATATTATATAATTATAAAAGTGCAAATTTTAGGTAAGGAAATGTCAGGAGTTTAGGGAGAGAAAGTCTAGGTTATAATAGGCAGAAATATGAGCATTTCCAATTAAAATTATTGTACTTTGTAAATTGATTGGTATAAGCCAATTAAGAGTGCTCTGTCAAATGCACACTCACACTATACCATGCAGTCACCCTTGAACAGCAGTTGCAGTGCAGAGCTGCTGTGGTGGGCCACATGCTTAGGTTCCTCTGATTGTGGCATACAGTGGTATCAGAAACACTCATGCACTTCTAGCCACAAAAAGACAGAGTTATTGGTAAGTGAAGTTTTTTGCACTGCTCAGAAAAGACTCACACTTGAAAACCACAATGGAGATAAAGATATTTATCTTGTTTGTAGGGTTTAAAAGTAGATAGTGTGCAGAAAAAGGCACCATGTGACTGTCGGGTACCTGGCATGTTGCCTTCTGCCTTGCCGCACTGGACCCATTTGCCTCCTTGGTACCTCCAGTGATGCTGGTCAGCAAGAACCACGTCCACATATATGTTATAATGAGCTGAGGGGTCCAGTGAGCTGATGTTAAAGCTGAGGACAGGGAACATCCTCCTGTTGACAAACAGATCAGAAAACATTTTTTCAAGATCAAAGATTTTTGTTATAAATTTATACTTTTTTTAAATGTAGATTTTTTCTTAAACAAATAAATACATTAATACAAATATAAATTTAATCATAATTATATATAACATAACTATAATAAATACTTTTTGTCAAAGTCAAATCGATGTAAATTATTTTTGGATTTTTTTTTTTATACTCACTGATAGATATTAATTTCTTTAAATAATATTAATTTTGATGTTTGTGAGAGGAAATGTTTACTTTACAAATATTTCTTATTATAATAAAGGTTTTTGGTTACAGGTAATTGAGTATACAGTATAAATGAAAACATAACTATATGAAATAACTATAATAATATAATATAACTATAATATGTATTAATGAATGCAATGTATTTGTTTTGTCAAATATTCATTCTGAAAGTTTGTGAAAGGAAATTTTGTTACAACTGGGTGACACCCCTCTCTTTAAAAATAGTTGTTTTAAAAACAAATAAAGGTATGCCACAATCTTAAGGCCCGTTCACACCAAGCACAATAACTATAAAGATAACGATAATGATATAGTTCTAAAAATCGTTCTCAATATTAAAGAATAGCATAGTTCACACCACAACTATAACGATAACGATACAGAGGAACGATATCGTTGTGATCACTTTCAAAATCCATCCTGCTGTAACGAGCTCAAGAATTTAAAGCGGCAGACGCGCTTAGAATAACCGACGATATCGTTCGCTGGTGTGGACGCTAATATCGTTATCTCTATAGTTATCGTTCTTGGCGTGAACAGGGCTTTACGCTAATCCTTTATGCTAAGGTCATGCTAGATGATAGCAATCTAAAAATATGCAGAAATGGTTTAAAACAAATGTCAAAAATCACTCAATACAATAAATTAAATTCATTCATATTTGATATGCTCCCTATATAACATGCATCTACACATGCTAATTTCAATTTGCTTGTATATACGATCGGTATTTGGTGGTAAGCAATAGTTACGATGGTACAGACATTATGATAGAAAGGCAACTGGGAGCAGGCTGTGTGTGAATCTTTAATATGACAATTAAAACATGTTGGGAGATGTATGCTTTATTGTTGTAGTTTTCCTTGCTAGACAGATTTTGATCAGGGTACAGAGATGAGGGGAGGTAACTGGGAGGTCAGTGTGTCCCACGGCAGTGTGAAGATTCCAGAAACTCAGACCCAGTACACTCTTAAAAATAAAGGTGCTTCAAAAGGTTATTCAAGCGATGCCATAGAAGAACCAATTTTGGTTCCACAAAGAACCATTCAGTCAAAGGTTCTTTAAAGAACCATCTCTTTCTTACCTTTTTGTAATCTGAAGAACCTTCTTTCGCCACAAAGAACCTTTTGTCAAACAGAAAGGTTCTTCAGATGTTAAAGGTTCTTTATGGAACCATTTAGACAAAAAGGTTATTCTATGGCATCGTGAAGCACCTTTATTTTTAAGAGTGTATGAAATGTGCTGCTTCTGTTTTTCTGTGCCTTTCTGCCTTGCTACCACTTGTGATAAAACAAACCTTTGACATCAGCCATGTTGGCTTTAATTCAACCTCACCCAATACTATGACACTTTCAGTCTCACTAATACACTCTAGAGATGACATCTGTGCCACATGGCTGCCTCTCATTCAAAAGATTTAACAGTTGCGGGCTACTGCTCATGCTTGTATGTTTCCCTTCAGCCGGATGCTCCTGTTAGGTGACACTCAAGTGCGATTTTCTGCTCATATCTGTGTCTGTATCAGTTCCATGAATTGGATACACACCAAATAATTTGTATATGGCTCAGAATGGATTTAGTTTGTGAGTATGTTTATAAAAATCTCTCACCTCTCTCTTGCTCTGTCTCCTGTACCTGCATGCTTGATGAGTGAAACTGTACACCTTTTTCCCATTGGGAAGAGCGTATGGGGGTCAGATTATTGGAATTAGTTCTGCTTACATATATATATTATATATATACTGTATATATATATAAACAAAAACAAAAAACAATTTGGCTTGGTACATGGATATGGAAATTGTAGGTTAATGGATAAGAAACGATTGATGATCTTGAAATACGTTTTAACATTAGCAAAATGACATGTACATGTACCGTACAAAAGTCTGGGGTCAGTAAGTTTTTGTTTGTTTATTTATTTTTTTAATAAATACATTTTTTATTAATTAAATTGTGACCAAAATTGGCAGTAAATAGTTTTACACTGATACAAAAATTGTATATTTAAATCAATAGAAAATGCTGTTCTTTTGAACTTTCCATTCATTAAAGAACATATTAAGCATCACAGCTATCAACATCGATAATAATAAGAAACGTTTCTGATCACCAAATCAGCATATTAGAATGGTTTCTTAAAGATGTGACACTGAAGACTGTAATGGCTGCTGAAAATTCAGCTTTGACTTCATAGGAATGAATTACATTTTAAAATATAATAAAATACAAAATAGTTTTATAGACTATTTTATAAAATTTTTGATCAAATAAATTCAGCCTTAATTGGTGATCATAAACTTATTTCAAAAACATTCAAAAATCTTACAAACAGCAATTTATTGAAGTCTGTGTAAGGAACAAAACTAGTAAATCTAACCATAAAACAATGTTAAAACATCTAATTATGATTAAAACAAACATTTGGGTTAAAGTTTGGCAATTACGTATGTCATTTAAAGAAATAGTAAACCCAAAAACGCTAATTATACACATGAGATATGGATGTGAAATGTTTCTCTGAACTACAATGGAGGGAAAGTTCTTTTTAAAAGCAAACTGTACATTGTTATTTGTTTGTACTTTTTTGTCATTTTTGACATTTGACAGCTCATAGCCACAGTCTCTTTTTATCTTATGCAAAAGCGCAGCTTGCACATTCTACTAAATATCTCATTTTGTGTTACATTTGCTTCACAAAGTGGAAAGGGATGAAAAAAGAGACTGCTTTGAAAGAGAATTAAGAGATACTTTGACCTGAAATAAGCTCAGTTTCACAATTTCTCTTTTCAAGTAGGGTAAAGGATGCCTATCGAGGATCAGAGCACGAGGATGATGACACTCATTTGCTACAGGGTGGCATAACACAAGCGGACGAACTGCCCACCCATGGGCAGCTGTAATTAATCATCATTCTCAGATGTAGCCCTGGCATTGTGGGGCCTTGTGGTGGTGAAGAGACCGAGCAGGTGAAGGGTTTCTTCTTCCACATCAGTTGTCAATATAAGTGAAAACAGAAACCAGAATCGTCTCTGTATCATTCAACGCTCATGCGTTGCCTCCTCACTCTGAGTTATAACTATACTGTCTGTGGCAGTCACTTTCCTCATCTGACTGAGCCTCAGAAATTGTCATACTTATTTAAAATGAGACATTTATAAGAAATCAGTACCTGGAGAGGGGGAAACCAGTGGGTTTACCACTGAGAGGAATGTTTTGCATGAGTGGGAGGTTAAGGCTTACGACAAAAAGTTAGAGGTTAACCTTTGGAAACTTATCTGCCACTCCTTGACTCAGTGATGGAGCCGTGAACACGGTAGTAGGTGGTTGCCAAAACAAAAATGCCTCCTCTGCTGTCTAGGACTTTAGGAAGGTACAGTTTTCCATACATATATGTGTTTCCCCTTAGCATAAAAACTGCTTGATGTGATCAAGGCAACACCACTGCAGAGTAAAAAAAAGACAGGAAGGGACATTAAAAAAAAAAACCTGCGGATATCGACTGGTGAAGTGCTTTCTGTCACTAATACGCCAGGACAGAAGTTCAGGTCCAGTTTATGTCATCCTCTTAGTCTTGATACTGAAAACGCGCCAGTCTGCGGCTGCTAGCTGTTTTGTGTTCACTTCTTTTATACATAAATGTAAAATATCAAACATGACCGAAGCAGACTGACATGTACAGTAAGTATGGCATGTTTACATGGTTATTGTAAGCTATTATGTGAATGTGGTTACGTTCAGAAACCACAATATATTTGCTGATGTTGGCGAACCATCATAACTGTAGTGATGAGCTTGGAGCACGGCTGCTAAAAAACAGTGGCTGGAAATGGAGCAGGCAGCAAGCAACCACAGCTACATGCAATCCCTTTGATCTTGATGGTGTTCTACTGATGTGCTACTGTCACAACTCATCTGTTTCTGTCAGAGCTGCTTGATGGGATTCTGCTGGAATTATGTACACAGCGATCAGTCTGTACTGCAGTGAGCGAAGACGATTCAACAAGTTTGCTGCTTATGATGTCTGACTTTTTGCAGCAAGACTGCATACGCCATGCTACCATATACAGCTGAACAGGAAGTGATTGTTAGTTGAAAAAAAGAAAGAAAGAAAGCTCAAAGGCTACAGGCAGAGATACCTTGAGTGGTGCAGCGGGGAGAGATTGCATTTTATGCAGAGCCTGAACGACCTCTTTATAAATGCCTATATAAAGTAGCCCCAAAAAGCACAAGTAGCACACTTAAAAATGTATTATTATATAATAATTAAACATTTTATATTTCTACATCCACTAAAATCACCTTGACATCTTTAAGTAATAGAAAAAATGGCTCAGAAAAAAGCTAGTTCAGTGTTTACAGATGCCACTTGGTTTGCTATTTTATTATACAATGAACATTTTTGTTATTTTAATGTGGTAAGAATTAACTTTGAAATAATTTTCACTCAGAAACTGCTAGTAAATTTCACAAATAATTACAAAGAAATGGCAATTAATTAAATGTTAAAGTAGAAGGACTGAAATATTATTGTCTTGCAAAATGTTTTCCAATAATATTTATTTACAATTTTTTTTACAGTGTATGCAATGCAATGAATGCAATTCATGCATTCTTAAAAGGAATTCTGTCATCATTTACATTATTCCTTCTGCAGAATGGAAAAAATAAGATATTTTGAAGAATGCTGAAAAAAAAGAAAACTGAGACATTTCTCAAAATATTTTTTATACTACACAGGAGATGGAAAGTCATACAAATTTGGAACGACATGAGGGTGGGTGACAGAACTTTGATTTTTGGGGGCACTGTTTGCTGTTTATAACTGCTGTCTTTATTATCTAACCTATAGTGCTGCAATTTAAGGGAGGACAAATGAAGGCCAGATAAATGTACTGCATGGTTTGTACTCATTGTGCAATATATTTCACTATATCATGAGGTGATAATGCTTTGTGCGAGTATAGAAAGTGTAAAGAAGTTCCTAAGAGTTTCACAATGCAATTTTAGACCTCACCAGCATAAGCAAATGCTTGGAAAATTTCAAGCTTTTTGTGGTCTTAAATATGAGACATGTGAATCCACTGAAGCAGAAAGCCAGCTTTATTTATACAAAATGCACAAACCCATGACTCCTCCACCAAACCTACGAAGAACCTACTGATTCACATCTCCTATACAACCACCTAAGACCAGAATATCTTTTGTAACTTTATATATTGACTTTTATAATGACAGTGAAAACCCCTCTTTTCAGGCATGTTGCAGATGCGTTTGGCAAGACATTTTTCTTTCACTCTAGTATTTATCAGCCACTGAACATGCAGTGGAATGGATTATCTGTGGTTTCATATCCCTCCCTCTGATGTTCTGTGAAGTAACATTTTTCATGAATTTCAGTCCAGTTATTAGTCTGGCACTCACTTGCTGCCTTATTTGGATCTCAGACTAGCATAAAAGCAAGACAACGCTCACCTACACCAATCTATGTTTAGAGCTGGTGGCCTCATGCCTGTTTAAGTTTGTGAAACCTGGTGGCAGGGGTGAGGTTAGGGGCCAGTTTTAAAGTTTGACTTGAAAAGGGCCGAAGACCTCTGCTCTCGTCTCAGGCTTCTTGACAGTGCATTTCAAAGCCTCGACTCGGACTGCACCTCGACTTCTGAGGAAACGTGCATCACTGCACTCACAAGGTACCAGACCAGAGGAGAGAGAGCAAAGAAAAAGCGAGAAAGAGAGAGCGAGAGAGAGAGAGAGAGAGAGAGAGGGAGGAAGAAAGTGCCTTCCTTCATTTCCTGCACTTCAAAGCTACCTCCACTGATGTGTATGGCCATCAGAGTCTCAGTGGTGCTTAACCAACTTTACCCCCAAATGCACCACCCCTCCTCCTTACTTTTTCACTTCCTGTCTTGGGCAGAATTACCTGAGCTCTGACACTCACTGGCAGTGAGAACCAATAAAAATAATCGTACAAACCAGAATGTAATAATAATTCACAAAACATAATGTGTAAATAAACTGACTCAATCTCCAGCATGTGAAAAGATAACTTCACTAGATTTGAAACGAACAGGATTCAGAGCCAAAAAACGTAATCATCAATATGCTGAATCAAAACAAACAAGGTTTTCTTGCTTAAGCTAAAGATGAAATAATCTACAAGCTATTCAATTCTCCCAATAGTCAGTTTAATTGTTATTCGCACATACAAGGGTGATTTGAAGTATTGTATACTGTATGTAACATCTTTAATAATGTATACCATTAAGAAACTACATAATATGCACCATTTAATTTCAGTCTTTCGGAATGTATTTATTCTGAATGCCTTGAGCACAGCTGTAAAGTTGGTTTGCAAAAGTTTTCAAGGGACCTACCAGTAGGTTACAGGTTACAAAAGCATGCCTTCACACACTAACACCCTCACAAACAATTGTACTTTACACACAGATGCACGCATATCTGCGTAAAAGCTACCAAACTACAAATAATAATAATGTTAAGAAAAAATAAATACATATCTCTGTTTTAAAATGTGTAACTTATTACGAAGGGTTCGTTTTTATGTGGTGTATACAGTACGGTACAGTACAGTACAAAATAAAATAATGAAAGTTATAAGTGTTGACTATGACATCAGTGGGATTTTTTTAAGCAATATCATGAGCAGGATTTTACTGCTATAATATAATATTGGTATAGCAGTATTATGTGAAATTCAGTCGGTGGTAAAAACATTGAGAGCACAGAGAACATTGTCACCTTTCCATTTCAAGGTTAGACCTGCTTTCAATACCATATTTAAAATGTATATTATTTCTAAAAATCTAATTGAATAAATATGTCATGTATGCATACTGAAAATGCTGAGTAAATCTCAGACTACAAGTGTTAATTTTTTGTCTTCTGAATATTTTTTAAAAATAACTCTATGGACTTAAAGTGTAAGCGTTTCGCATGCTGTCAATTCTCATACATTTTAACAGGAATCATTTTTATGGTGACAGGTGTGATCAGTGGTTTTATACAGTTTTTTCAGTTTTTTTAGCATATGCAAGAATCTGTGATAAATATTTTTTTTTTATCAAACTGACATATAAGGGCCTACTAACAATTATGTAGTTTTATCAGTCAACATTTTAAATCCATATGACTATGTAATTTATGCCTTGAAAGCAGCTCTAAAATGGAAGTGTAACACATCTGTAGATTATAATCATCAGGGACATGTTTAGATATTAATGCTTGGTGACCTGTCAAACGTCCCCACAAGCACTTTCCTCCCTCTCTGGGGTCTCTAGGGAACACCACCAGTGGTTTATAAATCACAATATTTTCAATTAACAGTGCGTTTTTATTATTTGTATCATTATTATTACTCACACTAAACATGCTAACTAAGTTTGATCATCACGTTCTTTCAGAACATTGCCGTTGTTATTCTCAGTATTTAAAAAGAACATATCCAAAATATCCAGACAATGAGGTAATTCACTTTCAAAGATTTGTGTCAAAGTGCATCTAGGTACAGTGAGAAAATTTGACAAATTACAGTATTTGTTTACTTTTGACAATAACTGAAACCAGGTCGCGGTCTGAAGGAGAAAAGATCAGATCGAAAGATCTCTGTAATTAGGCTTCTAAATTTAAGACACATATGTCAAGGACTCGATTTCATGCCCTGGTTGGCACAGATGGCATTTAGATAAGTACATAAGTAAGAGGAATAAACATTCATATAGGGCATTTAACCAGTTTCTTATTATGATTCATGTTGTTATCGCGTATAAAAACTTTACCTTGATAATGACGTTTCTGCTAATGATATATTAAATAGTGGCAATCCATAAGGCTTCTTACCGTCCCTGTTTCGTTATGATCATCTCTGTCTGGTACTTGTGGAACTTAGCCCACAGCGGGTAGTTGTTGAGGAGCACTTGCGTCTTCCCGGACACCTGTAGACCAGGTAAAGAGTACATCGGTGCTCGCGGGAACCCGTGCTGAAAAGACGCCGGGTAGCCGTCTGCGCTGCTCGGGTACGCGTCTTTACCGTTGGCTGAAGAATACGCATCGGCTCCGCCTGGAACGTAAGTATGTCCCGTCCCGCTCCGGCTGGTGAAGTGACAGCTGCCGAGCTGAGCCGGTGCGTAAAACCTCCCCGTCTGCGCTCCGGCGCTTTGGTGGTGTTCGGCGTGGAACGGCAACGTCAAACTGTCCTGTCCATTTGGAATCGAGTCCTGATAGTAAAACCTCGTGTCTTGGATGCCCATTTTGAAGTCCGGTAAGTCGCGGTTTCGGTGCAGGTGGTTGTTTAATTCTGCGTCTTTGGCGAAACTTTGCGCGTCTGCTCCATTCAACATATTGAGAAATAATTTCCTGCCTATGCCGCCCATCTGCAGCACCGGTCCGAGCTCACTAGAGGTGTCATAGGTTTACCGTCCGTATGCTTTATTATTTAAAATAAGACTCCAACACAAACTCTCTATAGCCAGCAAGTTGTGTAAGCGCACCGTGTAATCTACTTTTAAACTACTTGGGAAGTCTTCATTTTGATTTATCTTAATATGTTGAAGTCATTGCCACTATGTATTTGGAATAGGAATCGGACTTCAAACACATGATAAGACTCTATGATATATCCATATCTCGAATGGTAATTGGTCCGGAGGTGGGCTTTACACTCAGACTGGGCGTGATAGGCTTGATGCGCGAGGACGGGCCTTCCCCTGTTTACTGGGGCTTCAGTTTGATACTCACTTAATAGAACTGAACAGCCTTTATAATGTATATTCAATGAGTGTGTACTGATTAAAAAATTAATTATTTAGGCGAATAAAGGTATGTGTGTGTGTATTCAATAATCTATTTTGTATTAGTTTTTAATAAAAAAACAATTGGTTTTCAACTAAATAAAATTAAAAAAAATGGTTACATTAACACTAAATTCATTTAACTCATTAGATGTGTTTGAAAACCTCCCCGTCTGCGCTCCGGCGCTTTGGTGGTGTTCGGCGTGGAACGGCAACGTCAAACTGTCCTGTCCATTTGGAATCGAGTCCTGATAGTAAAACCTCGTGTCTTGGATGCCCATTTTGAAGTCCGGTAAGTCGCGGTTTCGGTGCAGGTGGTTGTTTAATTCTGCGTCTTTGGCGAAACTTTGCGCGTCTGTTCCATTCAACATATTGAGAAATAATTTCCTGCCTATGCCGCCCATCTGCAGCACCGGTCCGAGCTCACTAGAGGTGTCATAGGTTTACCGTCCGTATGCTTTATTATTTAAAATAAGACTCCAACACAAACTCTCTATAGCCAGCAAGTTGTGTAAGCGCACCGTGTAATCTACTTTTAAACTACTTGGGAAGTCTTCATTTTGATTTATCTTAATATGTTGAAGTCATTGCCACTATGTATTTGGAATAGGAATCGGACTTCAAACACATGATAAGACTCTATGATATATCCATATCTCGAATGGTAATTGGTCCGGAGGTGGGCTTTACACTCAGACTGGGCGTGATAGGCTTGATGCGCGAGGACGGGCCTTCCCCTGTTTACTGGGGCTTCAGTTTGATACTCACTTAATAGAACTGAACAGCCTTTATAATGTATATTCAATGAGTGTGTACTGATTAAAAAAATAATTATTTAGGCGAATAAAGGTGTGTGTGTGTGTGTGTATTCAATAATCTATTTTGTATTAGTTTTTAATAAAAAAACAATTGGTTTTCAACTAAATAAAAAAATATATATATGGTTAAATTAACACTAAATTCATTTAACTCATTAGATGTGTTTGCAGGTGTTGATGAATAATATTTGGAAGACATAATGCAATACAAATCTCAGTGAGTAAGTCATTTTCCACTTATTTGAAATAGATATTTTTGTTTTTGAAACTTACGTTTATGACATTCATTCTCACTCAAGCACACAGGATTCCCACCCCCTCCACTATAAGAGCATCTTTATTTAAGTTTTACAGATTAAATATTACATGAATGTAATTAAGTGCACTGATTTTTAAAAATGTATTTATGTATTTATTTGTATTAACCATTCT